CATCTCCCCAGTCAGCTGCATATTCTGAAACATCACAGAGAAGTATGAAAGTATACATTCTCTGTTCCCAAAATTTCTAAGGCGCAACTCAGCAATCACAAAACTGGAGGACAGAGAAGCACACTTCCTTGAGGAGAACGTAGATAATAGCTAAAGAGAAGTGTTCTTTGATGAACAAGCTATTTTATTTACGATTTTTAATTTTTACGAACCTACAGTCTTACCTACAGAAGAGGCACAGGAAGCATATTCAATTGTTCCTAAGCATTCTATTACTACTTCTGGATCTTCTGTTCTTTACTAAGCAAAAAATATACATGGGTTTACATAAAAAAGTATATTAGAGGGCACAGGGAGAACCTTGGCCTGGGTACAAGGTTTTAATGTTTAGTTAATACACATTCATCTCATTCTCTTGAATCAGTGTGAATGGGTGCAAACCTACACCCACTCTTATCCAAGCATCTACAAATATTTTAAAGCCTAATAAACATAACACAGATGCTCTTTTTCAAATCTCTTAGTTAGAAAAGGGAAATAGCTTTCAATCTCTTAGCAAAAATTACCAGATTCACTAGAAATTCCTATCCATCTGAAGTACATTTACAGAATTTCATACAACATTTACAGACAGTAAAATAAAATGTCTTCAACCTGAAGACCACTTCCACACCCACCACATATGAAAAAAACCACACATTTTCATCTCTTTAAGGAACACCAGTACTAACTGCCTACGTAAACAACTGCAGAAAATAGTTCCATATATAAATAGATAAATTAATAAGTACAGAAAACCAAACCACCCTCCCCAACACACACAGAGTAGCTGGAGACTGCATACTGGAGAAGTACAAACCAGACATCTTTATGCCTGAATTCTAGCAGTTATTCAACCATTGACAATACTCTTAAGTATACAGCCTGGGCAGACATTTTTCAGCCTGAAAAGTGAAAAAGAAACTTCTCTTCCAACAATGATATTAGAATCAATTGATCAGGTATGATTTTAAACCAAACCAAGTCACAGTTAAAAAAAGAAACACTGCTGTACTGTGAGCTAAAAGCTTACATAATCTTGCCATTATGAACATAAAACAAAAACTTACTGTTAAACTTATTTATTTTTAGACCTATACCAGGACTAGATACTCTAAAATTTTAGGCGAGTAGAAAATAGTTTAGTAATTGTTAAATACCAGAACAATTCATGTGTACTACTGGAATAACCACCGAAACAATGTCATTAACATGAAAAGCAGTCCGAATTGCAGTTTCCTGCTCATTTAACAAAGATTAATTCCATCTTCCAAGCAAGGGAAAACATTCGTTTTACCTCACCGAGAACAACCCGAGCAAGAAATAAAAAGATGGCCTTTGCTGCTTAACCGTTCTGTTTAATAAGTAGGATAGGTAATGTCAACAAGATCACTATTCTGTGCTCTAGGCAAAAGGATCTTAATAGGAGGACGTGGAAGAGAGAGGCAGACATGAAGAGCAGACGGCACCAAGTCCTTCAGAAACTGTCACGGGGGGGAATTTCCCTACAAAATATATTCCTGAATTAAGAGGAATGTTGCTGGAGTAACCCAAAAATAAGGCATGAGTAAAAGATGAAAGATGCATTTTCTACTGCAAGATAAAACTGTTAGAGGAAAACATGTTTCGAGATGAATAAATGGTATACCCTAATAAAAAAAAAAATTAAAAACCCCAACCAACAACCTTGTGCCTGTCCTTACCCTGCTGTGTTGTTTCTCTGGTTAAAACAGAAAAGATTTTTTTCTGGTTTATTTCTGGCAGCGCTCGCCATTTCACAGCACATTTAGCATACACGGAATTGATCAATACAGCTACAGACATAAGACTAGACTATCCATTTACTAACCACAAGAAAACGTCCTGTTCAGCAAAATCCTGCACCTTATAACATTGAAATCTTAAAAGGCATTGTTACACGGATCTCAAGATTCCCTCACACCAGCTATACTGAAAAGCCGAGCACTTGTCTGCTAAAGAAGTGTACATTTGCACACTCTGCAAGAACATCATACACACATTCCAAATATAAACAGAAAGTGCTTGGCTTGCCATGTAACTACTACTAGAGCCGTTAGATACCTCACAATACGCGTGTTTTGGGGGTTTGGGTTTTTTTTGTGAAACTGATGGGAGCTTCAAACAGAAACATACCAACTGTTCTCCCTAACCACTAGTTGCTGCCATAACAATTTTCCTCTTAAAGAAGTATGGGGAAGTCCTCACACACCCTAGCTCCTCAGGACGCTGAGCTGCTCTTTAAAAAGTAGTGATGGCTTTTTTGCACTACAAGGCAGTGACCTACTGAATAGCAACACAGAAAGCATTACAAATGATTGCTCAGAACCAGAAAGTCTTCCTTTTCAGCCCAATTCTGCGCATACATCTACACACGCTCACAGCCCTCACCATCATTAAAGGACGACCTAACACTTTCCGAGTATTCTAAACTAATGAAGCATTCATTAAGGTTGCCATTTACCAATGAATGGTCCGGAATAAGAGATCTAATTGAAGTGAAGAGTACTTCAGTTGGGTTATTCTTATTTAAAGGAACACCATGAAACGCCAACAAGTGCATTGCCGGATTACTGTATGTGACACCAGGTGGTCATGTCTCCACATTTGTTCAACACAATTGATCTGAAATCCAAACGCTGCACGCGTTTGAAGTGCTCACGTTATAAATTCTTAAGAGTAACGATGAAAATAGCTTCTGCCTTTACAGTCACTGACGTTCCCAACCATTTGTTATCTAAAAAAAAAATAAATAAAAAAAAATTCTTCTCGTTTGTACTAATCGATGAAGTTACCTCAAGCTTTCAAGTGCTGACCCAAAACCTTACATATAAAGATACAAGACCAGGAACATTCACTTACCTGAAGAACAAGAGATAAGAAAAACAGCGAACGCCAACTTAGTAGCAGCTCCCATTTTCCAATGCTGTTAAAACATTTAAGTGACACTAAGTATCCAGCTTCCTGGGTCCTGCAAGGTGGGGAGATCACCCTTCTTGCTGAACCGTTATAAAGCAATCTATAGCAACATAATGTTGCTATAACAGCAGATAATGTTCATAAAACAGTAAAATCAGATTTGTTTAGACACTGATGATCTCCCTCCGTTTCTTTCTGGCGAGAATCGGGGTTGAGGGATGGATATATTTGGAACTGTGTTTCAAAACACACGTGTCATTTGGCTTCTGTACGAAGAGTGGCAAAAAATTAATTCATAAAAGTATTTACGAAACCACTTAAAAAAAAAATTATCAACAGTTAAGCTCCGTGAAGCATCCCTCGTGGGTGTCAAGTGTCGGGAAGTCGTATCGAAGTCTGTAAACACGTTTTCGTCCTGGCTCCCCTTATACAACGTGTAGTGTTTGGGCGAAAAGTAGCTTCATCTCAGTTTCAAACCTCAAAAGCCTCCGGGTGAAGGAAACAAGTTTTTGTCAGTTTCTTGATGAAAACTACCTTTAAAACCAGAAAGCCACCAGCTACACCTGGGCAACACTTCGGTTTTCCTTAATAATGCTGAGGGATTTAGCGTAAACAAAGAGAGAAGAAAGGGAAAACCAACAGTCTCATAATAAACCAACCTTCGGACTTCCCGAGAAGGGGAAGATCTCCAGTCCTTCGCTAATCAGTCAAAGCCGCACATCTCTCTTCTCTCCCCCGTCACGGCGGTCCTATCTCCCGGGCCGTGCAACAGCAGCACTCCCGAATCCCAGCAAGATTTCAAATTCTTCTAAGAGATTTCCATTCCCCCCCCCCCCCCCCCACGAGGCTATATTTGGTATTTAAACACAGAAGAGCGACTGGGGGGAAAAAAAAAACAACAAAACAAACAAACAAAAAACAATTAAAATGCAGTATCCAGCCGCTGAGGAGGAGGATGATATATTCTTTGTGGCAAATCCTTCCTTCCTTGCCGTGTTTCCAGGAAAATTCAGCTTCGTTCGAAGCGAGGAGGCGGCGAGTGAAACTGCGGGCACCAGAAGGAAGGATGCAGCGGGCAGCTCTGTGCTGGCCTGGCGGGCGGCGGGTTTCCTCCTCCCGGGAAGCAGGGCTGGGACTCGCCTCCTCTCTTAACTCCTCACGGACACATCGGTTCCTCGCCGCACCCCCGCCCGCACGGAGACCAGCGACAGTCCCGGCCGTCCTTGCAACTCAATCCAGTCCTTGCTTTTTCCTTTTTTTCCTTTTAGGAGAAAGGAATAAGAAATAGCAGGGGTGGGAAGGAAACGCCTGCGGGGCTCCTGCTGCCTCCTCCTCGTGCCTCCCACACGGCGAGCCCGGGCCGGAGGGCGGCGGGGGAAGGAGTCCCCTCGTCACCCTCTCCCCTAACTCTGACCCCGGCTCACTCCCAATTCCGAGGAAGCCACAGCCGAACGCAACTCTCTCGTCTCCCGGACGGATGAGGCAGCGCGGCTGAGACCAACTTTGTCCCTCCAGGAGTGCAGTTTAGGGGCTGGCGAGGAGAAAAGGCCGGGGATTTTCTCTGGGTGGCGGCGGCGGCAAGAGCCGTTTCTAGCGTCTCCCGAGTCCAGCTGGCAGCTCGGCACAGCCTTCCGTACCCTGCTGCTGTTGCTGCTCCCCTGTGGTAATTTCATATCTACCCATTCACTTGTGTGGCGTGGAGAACGGACCCAAGATGGCGGCACCCGGACGATTGTTTTTGTTTCCTCTCCTCCTCCCCCTCCCCCACCCTCCCTTCCTTTCCCACAATCACGGCACCTCGTCGCGCGACGCCGGGCGGCCGCGCGCCGCCCCGGATTGACAGCCGCCCTACCCACTCACGGCCTGGCGGCCGCCGCCTAGCCCCGCCCCGCCGGGGTGGAAGGGGGCGGGGCTGGCGGTGCGCGCTCCCTGCGCCCCTACCTGCCCGCGAGCGCGCCGCCGCGCAACTCACGCAACAAGCGCGTCCGTTCGTGCGCGCTTGCTCCCGCCTACGCTCCCCGCCTACCCTCCTGCCCCTGGGCGCGGCCCCTCTCGCGTCTTCGCTGGACACTGCCTGCTGGTGTCCTGCACGCCGTGTGGAGCGAAGGGCGCTGTGGGCCGGTTTCCGTCGCCTTTCGCCTCGGTGACGCCCTGAGGCCACCGTCGTACAGTGCCGTGAGGGCAGGTGTGAGGGACGGACCCAGCCGCACAGTGCGCCGGCACCTGCTCTCTGCGCCCGGCCCTGTCGGCGCCGGAGTAGAGCTGGCGCCTCCCGGTCCCACCCTTCCTGTATTATTAATCCAGTTTTGCGGGGCTTGCTCTTGGTGCTCGGGAGCTTTTCTCCCTGAGCGCGGCTGGTCTCAGGTGTCAGAGCGCTGTGCAGGAAAAATCAAACCACTGTGAGAGCCGGTGTAAAGCTGTGAGTTGTTACCAGTGGTGCGACAGGTGCTTTCCCGGCCCTCCGTCTCCCACCCCCAGCCTGAGACGGCTCTGGGGAGTCCTGGTGGGAGATGGGCATGTGGTGATAATACCCGTGGCAGACGTGTTCCTCAGGGTCATGGCCACAACGTCCAGGGTGTGTTTTACAGCCTTGCCTTCAGATGTTGTCATGCCAAGGTTCAAAGTTAATAGGTGGTTGTACCCGAGCGCCTCACGTGCAGTTAACTATGTTCGCGCTGGTCACTACTAAGAGCCGGGTGCTCAGCTCGCATGGTGGCCACGCCTCCGGCCTCTGGCAGCTTTTCTCAGCCACCGTCCAGATCACAACAAACTTGTGTTTCATATCATTGTCTTTTGGCTGCTGCGGACCAGTGGCTTGCAGTATTTATTTGCAGCGAGATAGCTTTTATAAGTTACCCAGGCGGGCACAAAACCGCATTGTTTTACGTGCTGTGCAAGAGCAGAGCAAACGGTTTGTACTCCAGAAAGGCAGGTATAAAGCTGCACATGTGCTGAGTTTGATAGAGGAGTGAAGAGAGCAGGATGAATAATTTCCCAGTGTTTTCACCTTTTGGGTAAGATGTGTGTACTTGTGGTACCTCTAGCTAAAACTCTTTTGCACTAAATTACCTCCATTAAGGACAGTGATTCTGTGCCTTTCTGAGTTTGGTGACACTCCCCACGCTTCTGGGTTTGGTTTTTTTGTTTTTTTTTTTTTTAAATGGATGCCATAAAATATTTAATTGTTTCTGATTAAAAAGGAAGACATGCCTCTTAGATCATGAGATCCATGCAGGAAAGCATAAGGCCATTAATGCTGGCCTTTAATTTCTGTATTTTATAAAGGCTTGTGTTGTATAAGCAAGAAGTACCAAGTTCTCTGAAAACTGGTTATGTTGTCCACTGTCACCAGGTAGGTCTCGTTTCTAGGTACCTTCCTTTTCAGTTTGCTTAATAGCAATGTCTTAGGGTATTTTTTTGTAATGTGAATAGTAGGTGGTACTAGATTGGAAGGAATAGTATGTATATTTCACATATGTGAATAAACAGCAGAGTCTGAGCTGTGCTAATTCGAGGCATTCAGTTTCTAGACCTGAAGAACCACCACTAGCACTTGGATTCAGACATGAAGAAATGTAGGTATTTAAGTATATTTATATTGAGGTGGCTGCTCAAGTTCTTAATCAGGATTCGAGCATCCTTGGTGCTTCTCTGCTGTGTTCAAACACCAACACTTAATTCATCCAATGAGGATATTTTTGATGATTTGAACCATCCAAAAAGCAAAATAAGATGTAAGGGATTGTACACACCTAGAAGCATCAAGACATGTGGCAACACTTTTTATGCCATCTTTTATCCAAGTATTTCAGAATGATTTATAAGCATTAATTAATGTAAGTATTACAACACTCCTACTTAATCTGCAAGTTTTAATATTCTTCAATAGCAGAATATTTAAACATGACCTGTTCTGCAGGTTGTATTTCACTTGGCTCAGCTTCTTCAAAATGCTTGTCATGTTGCCACATGAGTAGGAAATTGTAGCTAAAAATATTGCTATTGTACATGTGTGTGATTATATATATATATATATATATACTTCCCATTGTAGGTATCTAGCTTTTTTTTTTTTAACTGACAGAATATAAGTTATGGTCTATACTCATGTTTTAGCAACTATTTTTAACGAAAAATAGATTAAATATGTCACCTATGTAATATAATTTGCCTGAATGTCGTAGTAAGGTGTCTCTTATTCAAATAGCTTATTATTCTTAAGCATGAGTGGTTTTTGGCTTGCAGGATTCTATTAACAGAGTAAAGACTTCTGGCCATCTGGGAAATACTAGAAAGCCAGTAATAGTCTAAGGTTAGTCTTATCAATCACATGTTTATCAGGACCACAAGAATCACAAATGAACCTATCCTTCTCTTTTTTTCCTTCCCAGTTCTGAGGCTGAGTAGGAGCACACCAAGTGGTATATGAATTAAGGTGACTAGTGGTAACTAGGATCAGGGAGCCTGCTCAGACTTCCGTGCTGCTCCAAATGCATCAGTCTGCTTTCAACCCCCCTGGTGCTGCATATAAGCCTTGCATTCTTCGCAGACCTACATAATGTAGCATGTGAAAGAAACAAATAAGGAGAGGTACAATTATACTCAATTTTTGTGTGCAAACAAGAAGAAACAGTTTTGTTGCATGGATGTAGCACCTTAATATTGTTTCAGTTATGTCATTATAGGCGCAATATCAATAGAGCTATCTATATCTGCATTAGGGATTTGCTCCCATTTAATTACATTAAAGTGAAATTAGGTAATTCAGTGCTAATGTTGTACAGGCCTTAGCAGAAATTGCCTACCATCTTTTTGTGAGGCACTTGATGCAAAATGCTTAAGGCTTTGGTCTTTCTCCAGGGTTTTGCTTTTATTGCTAGTAAAACGATGAGTTTTATCCCAAGTAGGCATATTAAATGTCAACAGGGTTGTTGTCTCCTCTTTCTTTTAGCTGTCTTTTTGCATGCCTTTCTCATGTGGCTTTTGGGGGTGTTTCCATTTTCTACCTTTTGGCTTCTCATTTCTATTTTCCTTTTGCCTTAAACTCCAGATCTTTTTTCCCTCTTCTCAGATCAATCTGTCTATGCATTTTTAATGAATCATTTACTGTGACATATGAGCACTACAGCTACTGTGTCAGGGACTTAAGCATCTGCGGAGAGCTTCTGTGCCGGGATAGCAGCAGCGAGATGAAATGGATGTGATCTTAGTTTCATCCTTTTTTGTTCACGTGGGATGGTACTTTGCCTAGAGGCAGCACAAATATAACTTTCCTTCTAGGGAAGAATGAGAAGAATCAAAACCCAGAGATGTCTCATTTTTCTCTTCAGAGCACTGCTATGAATAGAGGATTTAAGCTGTGTCTCTGCTATTCCACACTTAACCACTGAGTCAATACTGTTCTTGTAGAAACACCATTGTAGGTAAGAAGCTATTGTGCAGCACTCATTCATATTATCTATGCAAGCATTTTTAAAATGTAGAATGGGAAACATGGGGTTTGTAATATCAGGAGTAACATCAACAGATAGAATCCTTGTCATTATCCCATTTATCTTCCCTTATGGTCCGAGTAATTCTTGCTTTGAAGTTGCGAAGGAAAGAGGACCACTTTCAGACACCATCTTTACATAACCAAAACAAAAGTGACTAAAGAGGCAAGAAATGTATCTCTTTCAGGGAGTTCTTCCTTACCAGTCAGCTGGCAGAAAGTGCAGATACTGGAGGGCAACCTAATTAAAAAAAAAAAAAAAAGTAAATAACTGACTTAAAGTTATTTTTGATTTCACAAGAGTATGCATAATTTATGTGAAACTCATAATGTTTTAAAAGAGTTTTAGTATAAGTTTTCAGTTTTAGTGCTGTAGACAGATAATAAAATCATTTGCCTCTGGTATGCTTTTGGATTGGGTCAATATATACGTCAGTCAAAGTTTTCTCCTTTTAAGTTTGTAATTAAACATAAATGTTACTTGCAGCTGTTGGGTCCAGCTGATATCCACAAAGACAAAGTAAAGTACATGCTGAAATCATAGCCTGATTTTGGATTTGGGTATTTTGGTTTGGCTAAAGTGCGCTCATTTTATCCATATATATTATGTATATATATTATGTGAGCAGTACTAATAACTACAAATGAATAGGATTTGGCCTGTATCATGTTATGCAAAGCTATTTCTATAGCGAGTCTGTGTGTGTGACAAATTCCTTTTTAATATAATCACATGGACCTTGTAGACCCACACTAAGTTGAATGTTTCCCTGCTTCAAGTTTAAAAACAAACACATAGATATAAAATTTTACAGAAGCTAACACTTAAATACAATCTTCATCAAGTAATTTCCTTTAAAGGCTACATTTATACCAATGATTATTTTTCTTTTTCTGACCTGCTATCCATTTTTTCTTAAAATATTTGTGCAGAGAAGCGAAAATATCTACCCTATTTTCTTGGAGGACAAAGTGATGTTTCTTTCTAGGATTTGCACTGACTTGTCAGAAATGATCATCCAGCTAGAGCTTCCAGTTGCTTTCAGACACTACATTGTCTCTTAGAGGCAGTTTGTTGTGTCACAGTTTTTTATTACTATGGCATTTATCATGTATGGTTTCATACATATTTCACAGTAAAATTAATTTTTCTAGATATTGAGCTATAGTCCTCATTTATACTATACTTTTTGTCAAGTGCCATGACAAGTCGAAGATGAATTCTTAAATCCCTAGTCTGTGTTATCAAAACAAGGTTCTTCAGGTCCATGTAGAGATTTTCCTTCTCAGAATATAGCGTGATAATTTATGTACCCCTTTATGAATGTACTCTGTATTCACAGAAAGCAAATGCTAAAACACTGTAATGTTTTCACCATTATTTTTGATGAATTCTTAAAATGTGGCAAGTGTTTTCTTTTGCTATAGTGTCCTATCAACAATACTAGAATTTAAAGAATATATCTTTCCCACTTAGAAAGTCTTTATACATGCATTTATTTGTTGGTAAAGAATTATATACTTTAGACTGTGAATTTGTAATTAAATAGTCATAAGAAATAGGAGTGTGAAGTGGCCAAGTGAGGAGAGATTTTCAGATATTTGAATTGTGCTCTCTTTAGAATTATTTTTTTAACATGACTTTTGATTCTTTTGAAACAAGGAAAATACATAGATGAAATTACTTATAATGCCATCCCAAGTATATTAGAAGCTTTCTGTAGTGACTGAAGAGGGGGACCAAGAGAACTGGCTCATTTTCCAAGCTGTGACCTGTGGTTTAACTTTAGAACTTAATTACAAATTGTGTGTTTATATATATAAAATATATATAATTATTTTTTGTTCTCTGTTTAGAGAAGCACAAGAAAGTCAAACACACTTTCACAGGTAATGCATATATGTTTTTCATAAGCCAAAGACATTTTATCAAAACTGTACCTGAAGTGTTCTGTTTCTTACTAGCAGAAACATTTTATGGGAGCTGATGAAAAGCACAGTACTAGTGTCAGGTAGACAACCTGGGTTCTAGAGAAAATAAGATCTGTTTTGCTCATTGAATCAAAATGAAACACATTGAAACGTGCCCTGGGGGGTGGGTGGAGAACTTCAAGAGAGTGGGCTAGTTACAGAGCTGTGATGTGCAGTTTGGGTTCAAGGTTTGGCAGAAAATTGCATACATGCATAGGAATTTTTAAAAGAGCTGACAACAGATCTTGTCGTCTGACTTTTCAGTCCTGAATCTTAAAATGTTGAGTTCTTCTGTAGCAGTAAAATTTATAGGATGTTAATAGTCGACCAACTGAAATTAAAAAGAAGAAACAAAAGCTGAGGGAAAAGAAACTCTCAGACACTTGACCAGCTATTTGGAAGTCAGAAGGTGGGTGCCAGTGTGTCTGGCGTTTCAATATCAAGGTGGATTAAGAGCATTAGGGAAGCTTAAACGCTCTCAGGAGAGAGATTCCCATGGTTTTGAAGGCTTATTCTACTGGAACAGTTGCTTGGCTGCAATTTGGGTTGAAAGATCAGGGTTTTTTTCTCATGGAATTGTGCATAGCACTACCTAGTTTTACATTTTTTGTTAAGCATGCTCAGAGTTTGAATGTTCAGATTAAGCTGTGTGCTTTGCATTTGAGAAAGCTCAGACAACACTTCTTGCCAAGTTTCATGGACATTGCCAAGGAAGTTTTCAGGTACTGGCTAAGGCAAGTGAAAGGAAAGAGGCAGGGTTTGGTTTGGGGTTTTTTTGCTTGTTTGGTTCACGTGTTTCTTTTCACAATCTGTTACAGCTAATAGTACCAATCTACTTTGGTTTACAGTCTTTACTGTCATTAAAATATCAGGCAATTCACTCAGTCATGTAGCTGTTGAAGGGAAGGACTATGATGTGGTTGGATGTTTTCAGCTGTATTAGCTAGCTTGGAAGAATTTTATAGAACCATGTTGTCTCTTGCAGTAGTGATGAGAGAAGCCAAATTAGAATGTAAGAACAGACTCTCTCCCTCTCATTTTCCAACTAAATAATATGGAAGCATTCAGCTAATCAGTTTCCAAAGCAGGTTTTATGTAGCTAATATAACTGAACTGCAGTAACTTTGTGCAACTGCTGAGCATTTTTCAGCTCAGTGTGCAGTATGTAGTATGCTGTCAATTGATCAATTGCTGTGCTTTTTCATAATTTCATAATGAATATTATCCATATATATGTAGGAGCTGGATAAATAACTGCTTTATTTGTAGATCTTAGGATCATCGGCATTATACTACATTATCATGCTGCTTAATATCAGTTATGTGTTGCAGTCTCAGGTGCAAGATTTGCTTTCTAGCATACTGACTGTGGTGAACTTGTCAAATATTTAGCAAACAAGCTTCAACCATTTGAAAGAACCTTTTTTCAACTATTATTTTAAAATGATAGTGTGCTGTTATCCTTATTAGCTGATTCCCACCTGAGAAAATCTTAGTGGAATATGCACACTATATAATGTATGTCTGTGTAAGTATGTTAGTAGGTGATAAATCATCTACATTATTGTTTTGCTTAAACTGTACTTAAGATCTGTATCAGGTAAAGATGTGCTGCTTTTTTTGGTGACGGTTTTTTTACTTATTTAACTAGCATCTAATTACAACCATTTAATCAAAAGATTCTTAAAAACAGGGAGGTAAAAGAAAAATATTATGTAAAGCAGGTGACAAATCAGTTAGCATGAAATATTTATTTTTTATACCAGTTCTAATAGATAGCTCCTTGAAATAGATGATACTTTTGGTAGAATTTCTATGTCCATATAGCAATAAAGATGAACTGTTCAGACTAGAATATACAGATGCAGCGAGCTTGTGGCTCCAAAAAAAAGACAGCACTTACTGATATATATGCGCATGTCCAGTCCAGTGTTTGTAAATCGTACAAGAGTATTCAGTTTGTTTGTGGCTAGTGTTACAGTGAAGCGGTAATGGTAAAAGCGGAGTGTCGTTTCCATCTTGATCCTTCCGATACGCGTGCTGTTACTTCACTTTGATTCTCTGTAACCTCTGGAGCTTACTGAAAATTTTTAGCAGAGACTGAAAGGCTTAAAAGTGGTTTTGTTATTGGGAAGGAAACTTGCAGACTCCAGGCAGGTTCAAAGAGGATCAAATGATGGCAGGACAGGTTAGGGTTAGGGAGGCGGGAAGAATGCACTGTTTCATCAGCTTTCTCACAGAAGCTGCATTGTGAGGGGTCTGGTAAGTACATTTATCTCGTTCTCATCAGTCACACTGTGATGCAAGTGACTTGGGAATCAGATTTTTGTCCTTCCTGTTGGAACATACAGTTACCTCAAAACTTACATATTTTTCAAGTTGTTACAGCAATTTTTTAAGGTCTCCTCTGTTAGGCCTCTATGTGGAGCACATGGCAAGGCCATTTATGTGCTTTAACTATTCTTGTATTCTGGAATGGCATTTGTGGATTATTAGCAGTGTTAGACTATAGCAGATCTATAGTTACACTCATGCTGCACTTCCACAAACACTTTAAGCCAGTATAAGCCAAGAGATGCTGCCCTGCCCTGCACAAATGTTCATGCAGCTGCAGACTTCGTTGTTGGGGAACTGGTTTGGGTTAAAACAAAACAAACCAAAACCAGTGAACAAACCAAACCAAACCAAACCAAAAAATTAGCTGTAAACTAGTTTCTGAACTCATTCATTCCTATTCTCTTATGTTGGCTCGAAGGTCTTCACCTTCCTGGTGTTAAGACCACAAGTCTTTTAGTGTGAGGTGTCCCTGCCCATGGCAGGGGGGTTGGAACTAGATGATCTTAAGGTCCTTTCCAACCCCAGCTATTCTATGATGCTATGATTCTAAGTGTGTGAAGAAATTCAGAAGCCGCATTTTGGATACAAAGGCTGGTTTAAAGGGCTCATGGAATTCTGGTTTAAATTGTGGCTCCTTGCTAAACAGCCAGACATTCTAAAGGAGTTTTAATGGTCATCTTCTTGCACCCTTACTCCCCAGATGCACTTTGGGTAGAACTCAGGGTGTGGCTTTGGACTTATTTTGTCTATATCATGTGCCTGCTTTAACCATTTTTCTCTAAAGAACTTCAAGTTACATCTACTGGAATCCAAATTGTGTCTGTCCAAATCATGTTTCACACCCATTACAATATTTTTCTATCCTCTAACAAACTCTCACAACAGATACTTTCTGTTAGGCAGTTATGTTTAGTATCTATATAACAATTGGAGAAAAATGCGAGACTTGCATGAATTGTGCTTGTCAGTATTACAATATGACAGTTTCTAAGTAGCTCATTCCTTTTCTCCAAAACTATGCTAAGGTAATTTATATGTTTCATAAGTGGTTTATGAGTTCAGATTACAAAGAATTACAGAGTTTCATCCCAAATTACGTACTTGAGAAAGCATTTGTATCCCGTTTATTACATTTTTGCACATCATAATAAAATTATGGATGGTGGTTGGTTGCAATGATTTTTTTCATTAGTTTTATGGGTCTCAGTAGTACTTTTGCATACACCTGTATTGCTTGAAGTTTCTGAGATAATTACAGCTAGTTCAATAAAAATTACATGCCCTTTTATGGGAGATAAATTCTCCTTAATTTAAATAACCTTTTATTACAATGCAAATACTAGTGTTATTTTCCCCCTCCATCTTTCCAATATAAGCCTGCCAAATCTAATGCATTAGGTGTAAGAGTTATTCATGTAAGCCCCAGTTTGTATTTGTCTCCTTGGAACTTTTATCTAGTGCATTGCGAGGCTGCACCACACCTGCTGTTTCTTTCTGACCTCAGATGCTTGAAGAGATGGAAAGAGGCTGTGATGCTGCATGAAGTCTGCTGTAGCTATAAAAGGCATCCCTTTGCTCAGTGGAGCTCCACTGGAAGAACTTCTCTTCCCAGATGCATTTTCTCTTTGGAGGTCCCTTAAGGTGACCTCAGCCGCACAGACAGTTCCTGTCTTTACAGGAACTAGGCAGCATTTCTGTCATAGGCAGCACGTAGGCATGGGCACTGAAAAGTTTCACTATGCCACTGATTGGAGGGTTGGTTTGTGGGGGCTTTTTTAGCAGTTAACGTAAACAACTGGCCAAAGATTGAGACATTATTCTGAGTTGCATTGAGTAAAGCATATCACC